ATCCCTGGCTTCAGATAGTGATGCATCAAGTAACTGTATTTTGCTGTTCATTGAATCAACTTCTGCACATGCATCTTGCTGTAATTGAAACAACTCTTCATAATGTTTTTTCATGAGGACCTCGTGTTCGCTCTTAAATTGAAGGTAGTGTTCTTCAATTTCCCAAACCAACTCTTTTTCACTGTCTAACCTCAGTGCAAGGTCATCAGCTTTCTCAACAACTGCATAGAATGATTCTTTCAGCAAAATTGCAATTTTAGCCAGCTGATCATAACTTGACTTTGTAATTTCTGTAGAGGTCACACTTCTTGCAACCTCCATCAGATTGTCCACTAACTCTTTTGGGTTCATGCTGTTCACCTGTATAACATATGGATGTAAGGATTCTGTCAGCAGCTTCAACGCATCCTCTAAACAGCCCTTCATCTCATAAGGATCAAAATCTTTTTCTACCTCATGTTCATTCACTGTGTAGCACTTTTTCTGGATAAAACAATTGCCAGCTTCAGATTATTTTTACAGGTAAATAATTGTATTCAAATGTCAATGAGTTTCACACTATTTTAGCTTTGGGTTTACACAAAAGTACTGTTATAAGTCAACTTATTCAAATGTGGGTACCTATTTGTAGGTTTTACCCCAATTCATGAATATTCTTAAGTAAATGCTTCTCTGGCAGTGTTACTTAACGTGCTTATTTCTTAACAGATACTAGATTACCAAGTTTCTGAGTGTTTTTTACTCTAAAGCACTGAATTTTTATAAACCTGCAATTTTTCTAAAAGTCTCACAGCAATCGTCAGTTTAAAAAACGCTTTTTAAACCGTTTATTCCCATAAATTCGCTATTTAACAGCTACTCATAGAACCAGGTGGTGAACAGAAAAAGAAAAGATGTTATGAGGAGTTTCAGTCTCTCTTCAGAAAAACGTTATACTCCTCTTTTCCAGCAGGTGGAGGTGTTAGCTTTCTACCAGCAGGAGTCTATGACAACTTCCTGACGTTCCGTTGACATCCTGTTGTTAACCGCTTAGCTTAAAATTAGCTTCGGCTAAAACTCGGTAAAATCAACATTTCTGAACGGATTTAAAGCTAAACGTGGCGTTGTTTCAACAAGCACGACTTCTTTGCATGAACATGAGTTTTTGGGACATGTGGCAGCTTTATTTAGTGATTTTAAGCACAGCAAAGGGCTTCGGTTGCAACCAAGCTTTACCATCTGACTTCAGAGGAAGTAACGTGACACGTCACTCATCCGGTCGTTAGCTGTTAGCTTAAAATTAGCATCGGCAGCGTTGTTCAAAAACATCATTTAATGACGGATTTTAAACTCAAACGTGCAAAATTTCAGCGATTAGAGCTTCAAAGACACGGAGCAGCGTATCAGAATCAACTTTAAAGCGTATTTCAGCTTTAAAAAACAGATTTTAATTACCTAAGAAGACGAGCTTCATTTCCGGGTCACGTGACTGAATCTACCAATGACAGAGCAGCACGGGGTGGGCTTTACGACCTGACACGTCAGAGTTAGTCACGACTGACACGTCTCTCAGCCAATGAAAGCGTTACACAGCAGCTGATTTCAACCAATCACGCAGCGTTTTTCCAACTAGCATGTTCGCCTTAGCCTGAAAAAGTCCGTCAACTTTTCATCTTTTAAACCGTCAAAATGTACCATTTCCTGCTCAAAATGTAACGAATCAAGCTCTGAGCTGCACGGAGTCAGCGCCCCGTCATTAAAAACGTCTTTCCAACCATTTAAAACCAACCGGTCGAACTTTTCAGAAACCGAACCGGACCAGAACAGCGTCTGGAACACAGTTTAAACAGAATAAAGCGTTTCCACAGCTCAGCAAACTCGTCACACACCACATACGTAAAATTTCAGCTTTCAAACAGACACGTTGACTCACAATTTTCAGCTTTCAAAGCACCAGTAGTTGCTAACATTTCTGTTTCAGCTCAACACGCTGCGTTTACTCCAAGCGTCCCAGTTGCGCTGCGTTCCATCACAGCAAAATCTGCACTTTTTCACAGCATAATCTGCAATTTTTCATGCCAACATGTAAAATCAATTATTACACGCATACACAGTCCATTTATGAACGTATACGGGCCACCAGTATGTAGATGAACATATGCATGAGATATATTCATAAATTAAACGGATTCTTTCATTTTTCTGGACTGTATAAAATGTGCATTGAATTTAATAAAATGTATCGTGAGACGTTATTTTTCATTGACCCATCAAAATGAATGTGGTCATTTATTTACAGAATCAAAGTTTAACATCAAACATTTACATTAATTTGGCACATTGAAAAATAACAACATGGCTAATTTTAGCACGCTGTACAAGTGATTGATTATCCACACGGCGGTGGATGAGAACTTTACACAGACATTTCTAAAATATCTGGAGTGATTTCTACTTGATAGAAGAATTTTAAAGATGGAAGATGAAGTTTAGTGGGAGAAAAG